AAATAACAGACTAGGTGGCTTTAAAAAAAAAACATTTATTTTCTCAGTTCTAGAGGCTAGAAGTCCAAGATTAAGGTGTTGGCAAGTTTGGTTTCTTCTGAGGGTTCTCTCTTTGGCTTGCAGATGGCCACCTTCTTAGTATATCCTCACATGGTTTTTCCTCTGCATGCACATAGATATTTTAATGTCATAAAGACACAAGTCCCTTTGGATAGGGCCCACCCAAAGGCCCACCTTGGATAGGGTCTATCTCCAAATACAGTTACATTCTCTGTTACTGGTGGTTAGAGCTTCAATGTAAGAGTTTCAGGGGACACACTTTACCCATAACAGGAGGCATTCAATAAATATTTGCTGAATGAATGAAAAAAGTTCTGGACCCATTTCAAAGGCTGTTGATCTTTGTTAGACTGCTTCTGTTTCTTCTCAACCCCATTCTTTGACATATTTCCAATTAATCACAGCCATTCAGCAAGTTACAGGGTTTCTGGTAGCGATGGAAGCAACTCCAAACTGATGGGAAGAATTGTTCTTCAATATTTGGGAGGACTGGAGTTGACTTCTCAGGGTCTGTCTCTGGATCAGTGATTCTCAAGCTTATTTTGCAGAGACATTGGGAGTGATGTGAAAATCTCAAGATTTACAAAAACATTATGATTAGTTGTAATAAAAAAAAGAAAAAAATACTTCTTAGTAGTTCCCACTATTTAATGAATTGACTGAATTAGTGATATATTATTCATTCAGAAGTTTAGAGATTCAAAATATGTAAAAAGGTACAAGGCGAAAATCTTCCCTCCTACTTCTGCCCCAGCTACACAGTTTTCCAAAAGCAGTTATCAGTTTCTCAGGTATTTTCCCAGAGGCATTTCAAGCATATACAGTATATCTTTATTTAACATTGTCAATAAGTTTTGTGACTTTAAATAAAATATTATACAGTGAAACCAATTTTGCTACAGGCTAATTGATGTAAACAATAGTTAAGTTCCAATGGCATCTCATCAACTTTATAATGAAATGACATTGAGTGCAATGATGTTACTTGAGGACCTGCTATACAAGCAAATATATTTCCATCCATCATGTATAAAACATGATGTTCTGCACCTTAATTTTTATTATGAATGTTTATCATGAATATTTTATTATAAAAAGTTTTAAATTATAAATCACAAATTTATTACAAATCCTGTATTACCTGTACCCATACCAACTATTCTGGTCCCCAGAGCTGAGACTAGGGTGAGGTAACAAGGTGTGTGGACACAATTTTAAGGAGGCGCTCACTCTCGGGCTTGCACTGCACATGTGTGACTCCTTAAATTTTGCTTTCTAAGTTTGCTCCAACTGAGGTCCAGTCTTGTTGGCTCCAGTGGATTATTTTCAAGTAGAACTCAGATGTATCATAGGTTGCTCTTTGTCTTACTGTATATTGGATATAGTTTCATATCAGAACCGAGCTGTTTCCATTTTGATATAATTTCATAGTGTTACACTATATGAATATCCAATGGTTTAGTCTCTTATTGATGGTCATTTAGGTTGTTTCCTGTCTTGGTATTTTAAACAATGATACAATGATCGATTACATTATACCTTACATGTAAGTTTATCTGTAGAATTAAATACCTACATGTGAAGTTTAATAGCTGGCATCATGATCGCTTTTTGACCTTTGCTTATGATGTAATGAGAGAAAATGCTTCCTCGGTGTAGTGTTGTTTGCATTTGTCTTATAATGAGTGAAGCTGGGTAACTTTCCATTTGTTTGAAGACCATTTCCTATAAACTGTTTACCTCTATCACCAACTCTTTTTTTGGGCCTTTGTGTCAGATGAAAAATGAATACAAATTTTTTTACACACCTCTGTCAAAAGGTGGGCTTTATTTTTCTGGCCCTGATTCTGGCCTAGGGTGTGAATACTATATCAGATCCAAGCCCTTAAGGGTAACTTCAGCCTTAGTTTATTAGAGCCCTGGGCCCCCTCTTATGAAAAAGCACATTACTCTGCCAGAGAGACTGTGTAGTCAGGCCCCGAGGCTACACAGACACGGAGATAGATCCAGCTGAAGCCAACCTTCCAAACACACATGCCAAGGGCTTAGACAAGTCTTCTGGAGGAGAAAAATCGCCTAGCTGGACCCTGCCAAAATTCTTGACTTATAGCAAAATGGTGGTTGTTCTAAAATACTAAGTTTTGGAATAGTTCTTACACAGCAGAAGAGAAACAGAACAACATTCTTTTTTCTTTCTTTCTTTCTTTTTTTTGTTTTTTTGCATTTTGGAGTTCTTTATTGTTAGTAAAATTAGACATTTGTTTGATGTAGTGCAAATAGATTTTTTCCTAGATCTTTTGACTTTGTTTATTAAGGTTTTTTTGTCACACAAAACTTGATAGTATTTATATAATAGAATTGACATATTTTCTTCTAAAAACCAGCTAGAACATACAATTGAGGAAAAGATAATTTTTAAAATATGAAATATCTATGATTACAGTAGATAAACTAAGAAGAAGAAACTAAACACTAAAGAAAAAATCTCAAAGAATCAAGGAAAATTTGAACAAATGTACCTTATTTACTTAGATTAAAAAACATTTTAAGTTGTTCTAGAATTTAATGCAATCACAATAAAAATACCAAAAGGGTTATTTTTGAGAAGCTAACTCTGAAGTTTGTAGAAAAAATAACCAAGAATAGCTAGGAAAAGTCAATCTACATTTAGTCCTACCAAATAACAAAACTTTATAAAACTACAGAATTTTTAACTGTGGTACTGGCCCATAAATAGAACTAATGATCAATTGAACAGAATACACACTATATACATATGCACATACACTTGGTATATTTATAAATGCAGTATTTTAAGTTGAATGTGAGACAATAGGTTTGGGGGTTTTTTTGTAATGATGAAAACTGGGCAGCTATCCACAAATTATGAAGTTGTATCAGTTCTAGGATACACTTGAATAAATTCTAGATTAAATCTCATTCAAAGATTTAAATGTAAAAGAGCAAAATAATTTTTTAAAAAAGCAAATTACTTCTGATGAGTTGCATAATCAGTCAAAGGATTGGTTATAGGGATCCATGCCCAAAATTTTAGGAATCATGATTTCAGAAACAGGAAAATGCAAAACAAGTAGCTAAGCATCTCTTCATGTGAGGATGGAAACCGGCGTGTTCTACCCACGCTGTCTTTGAATTCAGCAACTCTAACTGGAGTTTCCTCTATGCACAACATGACCCTCTATTGGATTTGAGACAGGAAGATGTCTTAATTATCCCATGCATTTTCTAGCTTTCTACAGTTTAAAAATCACCTTCATATTCTTTTATCTCAACACCTTTATGAGGTCAGTGTTAAATTATCCTACCTAAACAGAAGACTTCAGTTAAGCAAATTATGTTTCCACCACTTGTCCCCTTAGACTAGTTCTTTCATTTTCCTCAACTATAAAATGGGTATTCCAGTTAAATGAAACCTCTGCTAGGCCACAAGCCCCAACAAATTCCAGCTCCTCCTCTCTGAGCTGGGTTACTGAGGAAAGGATACATTACAACACTGAGACCTTAATGTGTACACACATGCTACATCACTGAAACCTCAGCCGCATGAGGAAGGAACATTTTTTATCCCTTATTTCGGTAACAACTAAGCTGAGACGTGGCAGAGCTAAGGAATTTATCATTGGTCATACACTACAGGTGAGCTGGGTTTGAAATCAGCAGTCGGATTTTAAGGATTTCACGCTAAATAGCTGTGTTCGGTCGCCACCTTACAATGACAATGTAGCAATGGCCAACAGATGCACTCAGCTCAGCATCACTAATAGATAAATGAAAATTAAAACCATCTCTAAATTAACAAGTGCTGGTGAGGATGTGGAGAAAGGGGAACCCTTTTGCTCTGTTGGTGGGAATGCAGACTGGTGCAGCCACTGTGGAAAGCAGCATAGAGATACCTAAAAAAAAAAAAAATGGATCTGCCCTTTGATCCCACGATTCCACTTCTGGAATTATATTCTAAGGAACCCAAAACAATAATTCAAAAGAACACAAGCACCCCTATGGTCATTGCAGTATTATTTACAATCACCAAGATATGGAAGCAGCCCAAGTGTCCATCAAGAGATGAGTGGATAAAACAACTGTGGGCCATTTACACAATGGAATACTACTTGCCATAAAAAAAAAAAAGGAAATTTTACCCTTTGTGACTATGGATGACCTGGAGAACATTGTGCTAAGCGAAATAAGCCAGTCAGAGGAAGCTAAGTGAAATAAGCCAGTTAGATTCCATACATGAGTGGAATCTAACTAAGTGAAAGAAACCACATGTGATCTCACTCATATGTGGAATCTGATGAACACACTGAACTAACAAGGAAAACAGACACACACTCATAGATGGAGAGCAGATGACAGTGATGGAGAGGAGTTAAAGAATGGAGGGATTGAGCAAAAAGGAAAAAGGACCCATAGACCCCAACAGTGTGATGATTGCTATGGGAGGGACGTATAAGGGGACTAAATGGTGATGAAAAAATACAATAAAGATAAAATAAAAAACCAAACTGTATCAAAACCATAGCCGGCTGGCTTTCAAATTCGGGGATCTGTGGCTGAGAGCGCCAGGTATGAGTCCTGGATGGATTTGGGCTTCTTACCGCCCTACCCTCTTCTCCACAACGCTGCCATAAAGCCTAAATTCCAGGGAAATAGGCTTTAGAAAGAGCACTATACCATCGCATTTTACGAAGAGAGAGAAGTAAGCAACAGAACGATTTGGCTCTCTAAGCTCAGAAAATGGAGACACAAACACGCCGGCGTCTCCGCCGCCTCCCTCCAGGTGGCGCTGTAGGACTAACCTCGTTTCAAAGTGCTGGTGCCTCTATTTGGCCTCCCCCGGAGGCTATAGAGCACCGAGGCTAGAGAGGCACTTCCCAGAAACGGCCCAGACCGCTCAAGCACCGTCTGCTTCCGTTTCCGGTGCTTTATTCCAGAAGTGGCTTTTTGAGGCAGCGCGAGAGTTAGTGTGGTCTTTCGTCAGCTTCCACCATGGCGTACCGTGGCCAGGGCCAAAAAGTGCAGAAGGTGATGGTGCAGCCCATCGTATCCTACGTAGGATGTCGGGACCGGGAGGTTCGGGTCAGAAAACGGGTGGGGCGGAGGCGACCTAAAGAGTAGAGAGCCAGCAAGCTCGGAGGAGCGAGGTGCTCCTTCACCCACTTCCTGTGAGTCCCTGGGGCGCCCGTGCCCGAGAGGAAGCAGGACGGTGGGAGGCGGATTGGGCCAGATCCCTACCGGGGTACGCGGGAAGGGCGGTGGGGAGCGGGGAGGGGCCCTCTTGATTAGGTAGAGCGTGCAAACGGGAGGTGTCGGTCTTGGGGAGGAGGATGATGGCGCCACGGAAAACTCCAAGAAAGGAAGAGAGTGAGAGGGGATTCCTTAGAATATTTAGGGAACTCCTAATGAGTGCCTCATTGGACACTTAAGTGGCGTATGCCCTAAAGCAAATTCGACGAGGGCAGTGACCAGTTTCAGGGAGCAGAGTGTATGCTGTGTGTGTATTTTTTTCTTTAACCGTTGGTGCAGAACCTTATCTTCAGATACTTGCAAAATGTACGTAAGTTGTCGTTTCGTCTTCATGTCTCATCACTGTTCTAGTTAAAAAGAGATGAAATTGAGGAGCTCGGAGGGGTATTCTAGGGGCAAGGGTGCAGGGAAAGCTCTAATATAATAAAATGGTGTGAAGTCATGCTAACTACAAGCATGTAAAGAATTGTGTCATTTTGCAAGGTCAAAATTAATCTTTTCAAAAAGTAATTATTGGGTGTGTTGGGCATGTGTGTGGAGGGACAGACCAAAAAATTAACTAAAGGACACAGACAACTGTGGTGATTGTGGAGGGGGGAGTGGAGGTGGAAGAAGGTGGTGGGGAGATAGTAGGTTCAAAGGATTTAGGGACAGTTTACTTTGCTTTGAGGGAATTTTTAGCAACAGTCTGAGTTGGCAGGGTAGCGTTAAATGTATCTGAAAGAAAATGTAAGTAAATTTTAGTGATAGCACAATTGCAAAGCTTTAATTTCAGGCCATTGTAATTTTTAATCACCAGAATCCAGGATTTTTCCCCTGGCTGTTAGGTGAGAGACATTGAAAACTGAGAAACTAGAGTAAGCTGTTTGGCAGCTGGATTTTGCTATAGTGGATAAAAAAGTAGAAATTACTGCTGTGTGCAACACTGACATCAGTCTTCACTCTAAATGTGTTGAAACTAAAAGCAGTAAGAAATAGTCCCAAGATCAGAAGGAAAGGAAGTTATCTGACTTGGGACAGTCTGGTCCTAATTTTGTGTTTATTGAATGAGAATCTTTCTTGGCAAATAATTAGCCTTGGTTATGATGAGTCAAGTGGCTAAAACTGTTGGCTTTTTTTAAACGTTTTTTAGGGGCCATATTTTTCTATTATTTGACCAAAGTGATTGTATTTTGTGTACTTATTTTTTTTAACATTTCTATTTTTATGATTATTTCAGAGATCTCGGATTCAGGTGTGGCTTTATGAGCAAGTGAATATGCGGATAGAGGGCTGTATCATTGTGAGTACCCAGGATATCCAGGATATTTTATCTCAGAGCAGGTTGTTATAGGAAAAGGTCTCACCAAAAAATGAAAAGGAAAAATGGGCAGCCAGACATAGTGGGTGTTTAATAATAATTGACTCCCTCGTTTTAATAACATATCTCCCCCTTACCTCCCAGCTCAGATGTATTTTAGTGTAAAGGGTGATGTAGTTGGAAAGATTTGAAGAAAATTATGAGGTGATTTATAATTTGCCTTAAAAGGGTACAGATATGGTGGGAGCTGATCAGAGGCTTTGTGGAAGTAGTGAAGGTGTGATTAGAGTTGGGACTTAAAGGATAAGATTTACATAAGTCACTTAGCTTCTATACAGCTTCTAGTAATTGGAATAGTAGGGGAAAAAGAAAAGAAATGGCCTGCCAGAGCATTGTACAAAAAATCAAAGACCCAACCCAAAGAAAGTTTTTCAGGGCCCACTGTCCTTGCCTCATTGTCCTATTTCATAGGGATTGGTTAATTCATTAAATTGAGGGAAAATTAATCTTTTTAAATGATCTAAACATTAGTATTTGAAGATAGAGGCAGGTGAGGATTAATAGAGCATTAACTTTGGGTTAGGTGATACCTGAGAGCTGGGTGGGGTTTGTTAAAATAAGACTTCCAGGATGGCAGAATGCCCTCGATGTTTTAAAGAAAGATGAGATGTCACCGAAACTATGTCCTTTAGACATCATAGATTTCCTTAATAATCTCATCTTCTCAGTTTACTAGGTAGAAAATAAGAGTAGTGTCGTTAGTGGTGGTAGTTTCTTGTGGGGAACATGGGAAAAGTGGTGGCAGAAGTTAATTTGTATACGTACACATGTACTCTACTGGGTAGGTTATAAAAAACAGGGAGAGTGGCTCTTTGGCATAGCTAATGAAATCTGAAGTCCAAAAGGTTCCAGAAATAATGGAGTGTGTTGTGGTTTTCTTTGTTTAAAAAGAAGCTTAGAGTGGGAGGTGGTGTTTCATCTGAACAGAGTGTGAGGGATGAATTTTTAAAATTAATTGGCATGTCTGTATATATTTAGAATGGTTTGGATGTAATCTTACTTGAAGATGACAGTCAGTGGCTTGTTTTTCTAGGGTTTTGATGAGTACATGAACCTTGTATTAGATGATGCAGAAGAGATTCATTCTAAAACAAAGTCAAGAAAACAACTAGGTAAGAGTATGGATAGTCTACGGAATTTTAGAAATTTTTATTTACTTGCAAAATTGAATTGTAACTTAGTTCATGTTTAAATTCAGCTTGCACTTGAGAAATTATTATTGGGGGGTGTATGCTCTTGAAAATCCTTTTTCACTTATTCCTTACCCCACTCCATTTCACCTTCCTTCTCTCCACTTAGATAATCAATGTCACCAAAGACTAATGGTGTTAAATCTAATGGTCAGTACTAGTCCTCTTTTTACTGACCTCTCAACAGCATTTGGCACTGTTTGGCCACTCCCTCCTTAAAACACTTTGTTCCCTTGGCTCTGTGATACTATACTCAGGTTTTTACTTTTCATTTTTGGTTACTCCTTTCCAGACTTTTATATTCATTGAGATCCAACCATTAAATGTTTAAATTGCTCAAAGCTTGGTCATAGGCCCTCCTGTCCCTTGGTGTTTTCCAAGGCACTCAATACTACATCTTTTGCTACCATCTGTATACAGTCATATGCCTCATGACGACATTTTGGTTAACGACGGACTGCATGTACCATGGTGGTATACCATACAGCCTAGATGTGTAGTAGGCTGTACTGTCTAGGTTTGTATAAGTGCACTCTGTGTTCTCACAACTACGAAATCACCTACTGACTGCATTGACTCCCAAATATACAGCTAGCCCTAGACCTCCCTGAGCCTATTAAACATTTCCACTTGAATGCGTCAAAGGCTCCTGAATGGTAACATATCAGAAAACAGACTTAATTCTCACCCCTCACCCTTTTAGGGCTGATTTAGTGTTCCCTGCCTTACTGAATAGCACCAATTTCTACTCAGTTTATTTATTGATTTTTCTGCCACTACCTCACCCCCTCCATTTTGCTCTGTGGGCTGTACTTATCTTTGAGAAGCACCAGTCTGACCTTGTCATTGCTTTGTTTGACATCCTTCCTTCACTAGCTTCTGGATGAGAAAATTTTTAATGTATTCATCAAGGTTCTTCATGATCGGGGCTTGTCTCCATCTCTTCTCTGCTTCATTTTCTGAGCTTCATCCACATTTGTGGTTTTTTTTTTTCAGTTCTTTGACTTTGCACATTTACTCTGCTGTGAATCTTTGAATGTCCTGTTCCCTGTGTCCTTAGGACTCAGATGAAATGTCACCTCCTCTCAGGGTTTTGTTTTGTTTTACTTGGGGTGGGGGTGGTGGGCGAGGAGCAGGGCTCTCTGAGTTTGTAGTAAAATGTGCATTAGTGGTATTATTTTATTAATTGCTCTCCTGCTGGACCACATGCTCCATAAGTGCACGAGTCCCATCTTTTTTGCTCCCCAATGTGCTCAGTGCCTAACTCAGTGCGTGGGATGTAGTAGAAACTCGAAATATTTGGTCAGTGAACACAATTTTTTATGCCAGTTAATAGAGTCTTTAGGATTCATGGCTTCATCAAGAAAAGAAATTATTTTTGTTAAAATCCCATTAACTTAGGTTTATTTAGGCATTTTGTTTATAATTGTTTTAATGCCCAGGACTTTGTCAGTGGCAGGCTTCAGGTGTCTCTTTTATCCAGACCCTGAGGATTTTCTTGAGCCTATGCTAGATACGTGGAGAGTAGATTTCGAAAATTGTTTGGCTCGTTTCTTCCTGCTTAGGCTATTTTTGTGAAAGCCTAGATTTTTTAAATTTAAACATGTCATGCCAGGAAGTGCAAGCCAGCCTTACTGACATAGAATTTATAAATAATTTGCAAAGTGTTGAATCCCCATAGTAGTATCTTGTGAATGTAGGAAAGATAAATGTTACCTGGTGTAGAAGCCTGGGAAAGTTTAATCACTTCTGGGGTTGATTCACAGTTCTCAAACTGTTCTACTGAACACCAGTGTTCCTGAACATACATGCAGGTATTTCTTGGGGAAAAAAGTATTCTCTGCTCAAATAAGTTCATGAAATGTTGGGTGAAACCTAAACAGGTGTATTTATTGAAAGATGAAATCTTTAATGTAACTAAGAGCTCCAAGGATGGGGTGCTAGTATGCTTCATTTTCTAAACTTGACATAAAACACATTTTCCATCTTCTACAAACTCAGAGTTTTAGGAAATGTTGGGGTAGACCTATTTAGTTAACTTAGTCTATAGAAACTGTACTTTTTATAAAATAACATTTCTCTACCTTCATTAAGTTACTGGGTTTTTTTATTAGGTTATTATTTAAAAAGTATATTTGCTCTAATATTCAGCCTTTCAGTACTGGGTATTTGAAAATGCTTACATACAAGAAAATATTTTCAAAATTGCTTAAGAACCATTCAAAATTCTGAGGCTAAAACATTGTCTGAGTAGTTATTAAGAACTTTTCTTTTTAATTCTGTGTTTCAGGTCGGATCATGCTGAAAGGAGATAATATTACTCTCCTCCAAAGTGTCTCCAACTAGAAATGACTAATGAAATGAAAAATTGAGGAGCAATACAGTTTGTGTTTTTTAGGTGTTCTTTGTTGCGGGTAGTCCTTGAACATTTATTCATATTGTTGTGAGTACCCTTTTGTTATTGCCAGACCACAATAAATGCTATGTGATTGTTTTTATTAAAAAATTTACATTGTTCTTTCTATCCAGTGGTAGAGGCCCTATACACAGTGACACCATTAGCTGTTGGTATTTTAGTTTTCTGAAGAGTGGCTGTTAGTGAGCATTTGCTTTTCACAGAGCCTGCTCTATGGATTAAGGTAAAGAGTAGGAATTCTAATGGACAAATAAGCTTCTGATATTGGGTGGGAGAGAACAAGAAGGTTCACAGAAATAAAGGCTGTTACACTAATAATGTGTCTTCATCATCAATTCTAATTCTGGATGCTGGAACACTAGAGTTTTAACCACAGTAGGTTGGGGACATAACATCTATAGTATTTCATAGATGGGGAGTTACTGTGTGTTTGTTAATTTTTTTTCTAAGATTTTATTTAATTATATTTAGAGAGAATGGAAGAGAAGGACAAAGGGAAGGAGAGAAACATCAATGTGTGGTTGCCTCTTGTGCATCCCCTACTAGGAACTGGCCTGCAACCCAGGCATGTGCCCTGACTGGGAATCGAGCCAGCAGCCTTTTGGTTTGTGGGCCCGCACTCAGTCCATTCAGATACACCAGCCTTGGGGTGTTTGTTAATTTTTTTTATTACTAAAATTAGACTATGAAATATTTGGGCATGGGCAAAGAATGAAATGTCTTAAAAGTTTATTAAAAATAAGCTCTGTTAAGAGTTAACAGGAGGGAGACTGTGAGATTGGTAACCTGAAAAAAGATAATAAGCATTATGTTGGTTGGTAAAACACCTGTCTCTTCTCTCAAGAATTTTGGTTCCTGCCCCAGTAGTTGCTTATTTCCTAACTGAATTGTGTGGACAGATCTCTCCTTCCCCCAATATCTCAAGATGGTACTAGTTAGAATTCCGTAAAATGGTTAATTGAGCATCTGCTGTTACATAGGCACAAAGTTCAATAAATACAGTGAAACAGGCTGGCAAACAAAACAAATAGCTTCAACACCATGTGTGAAGTTCTATTTAAATTGTATCTTGAAAGATGAGAAAGGCCTTCCTTAAAATTCTGGTAATGGAGCCCTGGCTGTTGTGGCTCAGTGGACTGAGTGCCACTGGTTCGATTCCCAGTCAGGGTACATGGCCTGGGTTGCAGGCCAGGTCCCCAGTTGGGGGTGTGGGAGAGGCAACCACAGATCGATGTTTCTCCCTCCAGTCCTCTCAAAATTAATAACACTTAAAAAAATTTTTTTTTAATTCCAGTTATGGACAGTCTTACCAAGTATGAGCCAGGAAGGAAGGACCAAGAGGTCCATTTCCTGCCTTTCCAAATGCCTGTGAGGGAGATACGGAACTTTTTTAAAACTGCGTAAAAAATGGTTTGTGAGAAAGATTAGTAGATGAGTATAGAAATGTAGCTTACAACTTGGCGTTCTAGGGGTACTGCTATTTGAACTTCTGCTTTTTTTAGTAGTATTTTGACACAAAGGGCTGCCTTAGTTTTTAACATGTGAGTTTGAAATTAATTGAATTCGCAGTAGCATGCAAAGAAAAACATTGGGCAGCAGAGGGAGTTGCAGCCCTAGGACTGCTTCAGCCTTTCTGGTGAAAAGCTTTTTAAGAATAAAGACTGCAGCTTTCTTGGCACCAAAGTAGCTGGGAAGAAGGATAAAAGCTGGAGCAGTATAATCCCTAAGAAAACCTGCTGCTTGCTGCTTCCATTTCCCTGTGCAGCCTTTCTGACCTTGCTGCCCTGTGTAAGCAAAATTGTGCCTGCTGCGGCTTATTCTAAATGGATCAACACATGGAAAGTTCTATTTTTGATAAAGCAAATGATAGAAATAAGGTACAGTTGAATGTACAATTGATTTCTGTATTTAGAAATCTTGCTTTGTGCTCCATCAGAACATGTGGTTCCTTTTTAAGTTGTACTTTTCCACAATCTAGTTTTTTTTCTTCCAACCAGAATTTGTATTATAAGAGGCATTACACTCTACTTCCTTAAAATTATTAAAGCATGCTACTGAGAAGCTGCTCTTGTTGTCAGCCCTTGGTATGTGAACAGTTATGTTTCTGGAATGGCTGTTGGTTTCCAAAGGGATCTTGCTATCCACACATTAACTCTCATGTAACATTTTTAAACGGGAGGAGAGGAGAATTAGACTGAAAAAGTACGGATGCTGGGCTTGGTGTTCTTTAGCAGCAGGTGGGGAGAAAGAAAGATAAGATTTTGTGTTTGCAGGTACCAGCTATTGTATCACATTTGTCAGTTTCAGGATAGAGTGGATTTCTAATTTGGATTAAGCATTACTGACCAGGAAGTGTCATCGGTGTTATCTAGGGCAACATCTCATGTTACCTGAGTGACGCAGGGGCTTTTTCTTAATTATTTCTTTTAGAACTAATAACCACCCATTCAGTGGCATGCTTTTGGGAGATGAGATGCTTGGTAAAACTTAAGGTGTCATAAGAATTTAAATCAGTTCCTACAGTTTCATTTTAATTTAAAACTTATACCCAGTGACATTTTAAAAATATTAGCTTAGTACATATTAATGACCAAAATGCAAACAGCACAGGAAGATACAAAGTCGAACACAAAAGTCCCTTCTTTCCCCATCAGTATTTTCCATAGGTCACCACTAGTAAGAAATAATTAGATGGTTATTTTTTTTAATTTTTAGTTTTGGTAAAATACACTATTTACAGTCTTAACCATAGTTAAGTGTACAGCTCAATAGTGTTAAGTATATTCACATCGTCTTGCAACCAGTCTGTAGAACCTTTTCATTTTATAAAACTGAACTTCTGTATTCCATTAAACAACTCTATCCCTCTCTTCTCCAGCACCTGGCAACTAGCATTCTACTTCCTGTTTCTGAGTTTGACTATAGATATATTAACTAGAGTCATAAAGTATTTGTCTTTGTGACTGGCATATTTAATTTAGCGTAATGTCCTCAAGGTTTATCCATGTTGTAGACTGTCACGATTTTCTTAAGGGTAAATAATCTATTGCATGTATGCATACCACATTTTTTCTACATACTCAGTTGTCAACAGACTTCCACCTTTTGATGATTGTGAACAACACTGCTGTGAACATGGGTGTACAAATATCTTTTGGGAGACCCTGCTTTCAATTCTTTTGAGTATATGCCCAGAATTTAATTTTTTTCTTAAGGAATAGCAGCTTCAACATTTTACATTCTTACCAATACTGCACAAAGGTTCCCGTTTTTCCACATGGGCAGAACTTCTCTCTGTTCTTTTTATTTTTTTAATTTATTTTTTTATTGATTATGCCATTATAGTTGTTCTATTCCCCCCTTCATTCCCCTCCACCCTACCCCCCTTCCCACCATTACCCCCCCTTTAGTTTATGACCATGTGTCTCAAGTTCTTTAGATTCTATATCTCCCATACTATTCTTGCCCCCCCCCATCTATTTTCTATCTACTGTCTATGCTACTTATTTTCTGTACCTTCTCCCCCCTTGTCCTCCTTCCACTCCCCTGTTGCTAACCCTCCTTGAGATCTTCATTTCTATGGTTTCACTCCTGATCTAGCTGTCCTTTTAGTTTGCTTTTGTTTTAGGTGTGGTTGTTAATAACTGTGAGTTTGCCGTCCTTTCACTCTTCATCTTTTTTAATCTTCTTTTTCTTAGGTAAGTCCCTTTAACATTTCATATAATAAGGGCTTGATGATGATGAACTCCTTGAATTTGATCTTATCTGAGAAGCACTTTATCTGCCCTTCCATTCTAAATGAAAGTTTTGCTGGATAGAGCAATCTTGGTTGTAGGTCTTTGGATTTCATGACTTGGAATACCTCTTTCCAGCCCCTTCTTGCCTGTAAGGTCTCTTTTGAGAAATCCTCTGACAGTCTGATGGGAACTCCTTTGTAGGTGACTGTCCCCTTATCTCTTGCTGCTTCTAGGATTCTCTCCTTCATTTTAATCTTGGCTAATGTAATTATGATGTGACTTGGTGTGTTCCTTCTTGGGTCCAACTTCTTTGGGACTCTCTGAGCTTCCTGGATTTCCTGGCAGTCTATTGCCTTTGCCAGATTGGGGAAATTCTCGTTTATTATTTGTTCAAATAAGTTTTCCACTGGTGGCTGTTCCTTTCCCCCTTCTGGTACCCCTATAATTCAAATGTTGGAGCATTTAAAGATATCCTGGAGGATCCTAAGCCTCTCCTCATTTTTTTGAATTCTTGCTTCTTCACTCTTTTCTGTTTGGCCATTATTTGCTTTCTTCTGGTCCACTCCATTGATTTGAGTCCCAGTTTCCTTTTCATTGCTGTTGGTTTCCTGTGCAATTCCATTCATTTCAATTAGTTTCACCTTCATATGTTTCTCTATTTTGTGGCTATAATCAACCAGTTCTGTGAGCATCCTGATCACCAGTGTTTTAAACTGCGTCTGAGAGTTTTGCTATTTCTTCATTGCTTAGATTTATAGGCTCTGGGGCTTTGAGATCTTCTTGAGCCATTTTTGGTCTGTTCGGGTCCATTAAGTATGAGGAGCGGAGCCTTAGGGGCAGGGTGGGACCTCCAGGGCAGGGTCACTGGTTTGTGATGCTCTATGTGGTGGCGGGTCAGAGCCGGGAAATGGCGGCCGTCTCTGCTGCCTCCTGTCATTGGGACCTGCTCGGTCACATCTCACTGCCCACTCCCTCACTCGTCTATCTGCGCAGGAATGCGCCAGCACTGTCAACCCACTGCCCTTCACCCTCACCGGATCCGCCGGTGGCTCGCAGGGTCATGCTCACTAGGTTGTTCACTGGGTCGGCCTGTTGCAACCCCACGCCTGGGATTCGCGCCTGAGTCCGTCTGACCGAGTTTTCCTGTGCAGCCCTGTTCCGCCAGCTGCTGGTTTTGCCCCTCTTACTGGTCAGGCTGAAGAATTCGTTGTTGTCGGACTTCCGAAAAGTTCAATTTTCTGTGTTCTGGCTGTGTTTTCTGTTGCTAATATTTTGTTGTCTCTAAACTTGGTTGTGTGAGAAAGCATGGCGTCTCCACCTATGCCTTCATCTTGGTGGAAGTCTGAAATGATGTATAAATTGACCTTGTATCCTTTTACCTAGCTAAACTCAATGATTAATTCTGGTAACTTTTTTTGTGGATAACTTGGGATTTTCTATATAAATGGTCCTTTTGTCTGCAAATGAAAATGTAAGAAATAAAACTTCAAATAAAAAGTAGTATTTTTGGACTTCTGGCCAAGATGGAGGCATAGGTAGACATACTGTACCTCCTTGCACAACTAAAAGAACGACAACAACAAATTTAAACAGAAAAATAACCAGAACTGCCAGAAAATTGAACTGTATGGAAGTCCAACAACCAAGGAGTTAAAGAAGAAACAATCAGACTGGTAGAGTGGAGACAGGCAGCCAGGATGGAG